TCACCTTTACATTGCGCAATGAAGCCTGCATGCCGGCCCGTCATCGCGGGAGCCTCGTCTGTTGTCACCGACACCAGCTTTTCCAACGGTACCTTTGTCTCCACGAAGAAACTAGTAAAAAGTCTCGTCTATAGCCGAGCGGGGGATCCAACCCTCCGAGGCGCGCGAGCGTCTTCGGGCGCCCGCGTTCAAACCTCTAGTCTGGGCCTTTTCGGTCGGATTGCGTTGCCTCGCCTCCACCCCCGCCACTCCTGAGTTGTTGCCCCGCCTGTTCCGAGGTTTTACTGGCCTGATGACGGAGTGCGCTCGCGGCTCGCGTCTGGCGCCAACGGGAAGCGCCCGCCATTCAGAACCTGAAAACCTAGTGCGGTGCGGCGGCCTCGTCCTGGCTGTCCGCCGTGCGCCTCCGGGTACCCAACTCTCTTATGACAAGAAATATAAGAAATTAGCCATTTCTTGTAAAAAAAAAAAAATGATTACAAATATATTTGAGGGGCACTTAAGGTCAACTTGTACCCAAGCGACAAGACTTTTGTCAAGGACTGTACATATATATGTAATACAACAATGTACAACTACTGCAATACAAGAGTCCTGAATTCTCCTCTACAGTAGAAGTATTATGAGTACTTCATGTATCAAACGTACCCATGTAAGCAATATGTTATTATTAGTAATGATGAGTTAGAAGTAGAAGTTCACTGTTTGGTAGATTCTTCTACTAACGTATGAATATATTTATGAGATGATCATATTTTTGTATGAAATAACAACAGCTCTCAGATCAGTCAGAAAGAGTAAAAAGTGTAAAAACCCTGAACTATCCCAGAATGCACTGGTTTATGATTGGTCAAATCCCAAATATCCGCCCTCAAAAACTGAGCCGAGAACAAGCTGGAACGAACCGGCAGCCGAAAAATTTGAACAGGATCGTAGCTGAACCTACGAAACGTAGTGCTGAATAAATCTAAATATACTGCATGTAAACAGTAAACAGAGCGAGAAGCTCCAGGTGAGGAGGCTGAGTCGCAGATCCTCCTGAACTCTGACCGAGCAGCTGGCTTGAGCCTCCTCGTCCTAGTTCAGGAGTAACAGCTGCTGCAGGTCAGCGGTCAGGTCGTCCAGAAGTGACGCCTTCTTCTGGACGACGGCCCGAAAGGTTTGAAAGAGTTTCACACTCGTATGATCGTTCCCCAAAAACGGCCACAGTTTTCCTCCAGACTGCATGCTGTGGACCAGCTGGTGGACCACCGTCCCCTCACACAACCTGGACCAGATGAGGGACAACAAGGAGATTTCACTGTGGAGTACTTTTACTGTCACAGAGTATTTATCACTATGGGTTTAGTACTTTTACTGTAAAACTCTAAAACTAGGCTTACAGAACTACGAACTGAGTATCTTTACTCATCAGTACTGAAAGGTTTCACTGAACAGTTTTATATTTATATACAGTATATATATATTTATATTTATATATGTATATATATTTATATATAAAGGAGCTGCAGCACAGGTGTGTGTGTGTTCTGTGGAGGTTCACCTGGAGATCTGGGGCTCAGGTAAGGGGAAGCCCAGCAGCTGGTTCAGCTGGATGCCAACTTCCAGGCAGGCCTGCCACTGGTTGAAGGAGTGAGACAAGACCAGGTCCAGCTTCTGTCTACGCTGATGGTTCTGAATCTGCAGAGCTGCAACACACACACACACACACACACACACACCATTTAAAGGTTGTACTGCTAGTTCTTACTATTTTCATTACATTTAACTACAATTAAATGTAACATTAAAGTGTCATGTTTGTGGTTATTAATAATCATTGGATGATCTTTATCTGTTCTATGTCTACATGTTTATAATAATCATTATATGATCTTTATCTGTTCTATGTCTGTATGTTTATAATAATCATTAGATGATCTTTATCTGTTCTATGTTTATATGTTTATAATAATCATTATATGATCTTTATCTGTTCTATGTTTATATGTTTATAATAATCATGAGATGATCTTTATCTGTTCTATGTTTATATGTTTATAATATTCATTAGATGATCTTTATCTGTTCTATGTCTATATGTTTATAATAATCATAAGGTGGTCTTTATCTGTTCTGTGTCTATATGTTTATAATAATCATAAGGTGGTCTTTATCTGTTCTGTGTCTATAT